GTGTGCCGTGCACGAGGACCCGGGTTCGATTCCCGGGCGGGTCAGCGCGAAGAGTTTAGCAAGTTTCCTTACTCCACACACACACACACGCACACGCACACACACACACGCGCGCGCCCTCTCCTCTGTTTACCCAGCGGTTACCCGGAATTGTTAGCCGATCGGCGGATCACTTTCCTCGGGGGGTAATCATCCCTCCCAATAAATAAATAAATAAATAAATCAATCAATCAATAAATCAATAAATAATGAGAAATGGGTCACTCGATCCCCGGCTGTTTGTGGGACGCTGTTGGCGGCCGCGTTTCGCCCACAAAATGCACAGTCACTGCCATTGTCAGCCGCTGTCCTTCAGACAAGACATTAAACTAAAGCCGTGGGTGAAGGACAAATCTGTCTCCATTCAGTGACCCTGAGATAAGGGAGGAATATTGTCTAGGCTGATGGGGGGGGGGGTGGGGTGGTGGTGGGGGGTGTGGGGGGAACTTTGCACTACCAGAGGCACCAACTCCCTGCACTGTGGGACTTTTAACCACAAAACACACAGTCACTACGCTTTACAGCGTATCCTGTGAAGCGCACACTCTCGCTCTATCAACGCAGGCAACACTCGGCATATCTCTCCTCGTGAGCTGTTTCCCCCCCACCCCCATCCCCCCGCCGTCCCCACCACCACCCCCCTACCCCCCCCGCCGTCCCCCTCCCAGACTACAGGGCTGCCAATCAGCGCCATAAATAAACACTCTAATTACTGCCGAGCGAACGGACCGCAGAACGTTATCGCAGAGGAACATTTCGTGCCCCACCCCCCCCCCCGGAGAATCAAACCCGGGTCCTCTCGCTTGTGAGGCGAGCTGCTAACCACTGCACTACAGGACTCCACCTCTGACTGAGAAGGCTGTTGAACTGCCTCTGCCAGGCCTGCTCCGTGTTTGGCACTTGGGCAGATGATGAGGACTGATCACCACCCCCACACCCCCCCCTCCGCCCTCTCTCCCCTGAAAGAAGTGACTAAAACCAAGAACTTGTCATCTTTATGGCGCCTAGTGTGGTTTAATTCCCAATGGAGTGTGGCACGCATTTAAATCACATTGCTTGTGATTTAATCTGTTTACAGTGAAAAATCAACACTGGATCAGGTCCAAGATACAAATACACAATACAAATTGGGTGAATTAAACATTGTGAATTGGAGACAGTTTTAATTAGATCAGCAATAGGGTAAACTTCACACTGATGTTGGATCCGTGCTAAAACCACAAGAAAAATGAGGAGTGGGCTAGGTGGGAGGGAGGGAGGTTCGCTTCTATTTTACTCACAGAAGGTTGTTAGAATGTGGAATACATTACCAGGTATGGCTGTGAGAAGCTGAGGCCATTCATTAGCAAGTGCTTGGAAGGGAATTGGATAAATATGTGAGGGGGAAATAATAATGAAGGATGTGGGAAAAGGATAAGGCAATGGGATTAAAGGAACGGGATAGTTCCAGTGGGGGGAGCTAGCACCAACGCAGACTTATTGGGGCAAAGAGCAGGGGAAACAACAACAATTGCATTTATATAGCGCCCCTCGTGCAGGGTAGCGTCCCAGAGCGCTTGCCAGTAGCGGAGCTGAGTCGGGGCGAGGTGACCGTAAGCACGATCGAAGAGGAAGGTCTTCAGGCTCGACCTGAAGATGGGGAAGGAGGGGAGGGGAACAAGGCAGAGGGATTGAGGGAGAGAGTTCCAGCGTTTCGGGCCTCAGGAACCAGCAACAATCATAGGCACGATGGAGTTAGCGCAGATGGTTTCAAAGGGAGCTCCATCAGCACAGATTCGATGAGCCAAATTGCCTCCTTCTGTATGTTCTATGATACTAAGTAGACGTGTGACTGAATCTCCCCAACCTTGTCCACGTCTATTTACCTTGCCTGCCTTTGAAATATGTAGACCTGTGTAATTTTTCCCCAACCCAGAACAGCGTAAACCAGGTAGCTCCACTCATGACGTGTCCAGTTTGTAGAACCGTGTCAGCTTATAGTTCTGTGTCCAGTGCCAACAATGCGTTAATCACACCTTCCTATTATACTCATAAAAATCTTAATGTTTAAATTGATGGTGGACTGGAGCGAGATTACTCACTGGAGGGGGCGGAAGGGAGAAATTGAATTCGAAGTGTGAATCAAAGTTCTTTGATCCGTCAGTCACTGTGCCGAATGGGACCCAAGTGGCTGAAAAAGACCGAGCAAATGTGCAGTACAGCGGCGAGGGCGTTGTAAACATTGTGAATGTGGACTTTGTTTGGTGAGGTCATTCCGTTCCGAGTTCCCACTTGAATTCGATGTGCTGAATGAGTATGACTGCACCTGTGCGTGTGCGCGCAGCCGCGCGGTTCGTGTGTGTGTCTGTGGTGTTGTTTTTAAATAAATCCCCATTTTCGAACGACGTGCAAAGAATTTCAATCGCAAAATGCAGCCCTTCAAAATCTGCTCCAAAGTGTATGCGACCGGTGGGGGGGGGGGGTGGGGGGGGGCAAGATACAATAACAGTGAGATTGGCATCAGACCCTTTCTTTTCTCTCCTCTCTGCCACTGAAATCGCCACACAGTTTAAAGAAAACACCACTTGGCTTGAACGGCAGGAGTGAGTACCTTCTTGAAAACGCAGAGATGCACTTGGAATGTCAATGAGGTATGAAGGGCATTCAGAGAGCAGTGGCATCACAGGCCTGGGATTGATTTGCCAGACCACTGTCTCGATCAAGGGAGCAGCAGCAAGCGTGTTTCTCCCGCAGAATACACAGCCAATCCACTTTAGTATTAATAATAATAATCCTTACAGTTGATATTACGTCGTTGAGACGTCTCAGAGCGCTTCACACAATGCACCGTTAACGTGAAGCGACTGTGTATTTTGCGGGCGAATCGTGGCAGCCAATCCCGCACGGCAGTGTCCCACAAACAGGTGTGGATTGAGTGATCAAATTATTACGACAACAACAACAAGATTTGTGTAGTGCCTTTCACGTCGGGAGGACGTCCCAAGGAAAAGCGATCTACTAATCGACTAACAACCGGGTTTCTACTTACTGCTGGGTAAACAGACGTGCGTGGAGTAAGAAAACATGCTGCCCGGCTGGGAATCGAACCCGGGTCCTCTCGCTTGCGAGGCGAGTTCTCCAACCACTTTGCTACAGGACTCCGCACTGTACAGTATGTCCTGTGAAGAGCTTTGCAAAGTTTCAGTGACAAAATAGTAAACCTACGGAACAGGCTCCCTAGGGTGACGGTCGAAGCAGGAAATGTTGACTCCTTCATACATGGATTCGATAGTTCTCTTTTAGGAAATAACACGATGGGACATAGAACATAGTGCATGCGACTGCTAGGAAGGTGGAAGGCCGACTGGATGGACCTTGTTTTTTTTTTGGCTCGCATTACTTATGTTCTTATGTTCTTACGTTCTTATGAGATAAGGCGCTTTATCAAACACAAGGATTATGGAAGGAGTCATCGAACGCAGACAGACTTCCTTCAAAAATGCACAGAGAAAATATTGTGTGGAAGCATTCATTCTAGCGTCGAGACCTACTAAAAACATCAAACATTTTAACTTGACCTTTGCACATGTTCTAAACAGCGTGTGTTTTAATTTAATTACATATTGTAAGATTAAAAGATCGAGACTTGAGGGAAAAAAAAGGTCATGTGTTATTAACTGAACTTAGATTCTGAATTGATTTCACTTTAACCTGCGCATCCTTAGCTTTGTTAAATTACTTGTTTGTTGGACCTTTTAAAATCAATCGGAATAAAACTTGACAATGAAAATAGCAGATTCTCTGAACCATGTTATTCTTGAGCTCAGTGTAATTAAAATGTTCCACTCTCTTTGCGTTGAAAGTTGTCATTATGTTCTCCCGAGGAAGGATCATTATATATTCTGCCATTTAAAAAAAAATTAAATCAATGAATCACACTGGAATCAATTTAGCTGGTGGAATCTGGCGGTATGTTTAATATTTTTCATGTCAAATATGGCAGAGGCAGATTCCTTATCGATCTCATTCTCAATGAAGGTGTCTGTCAAGCGTTAGACTTGAGGATCATGGCCTCCAAAGGCCCCTTTTGTTATGAAACGTAGAGATGGCTCACTTCAGAAAATACTTTATTCTTCCTTTCCCACGAAGGTTATTGTTGATTCTCCGAAGTTCTGCATTAAATTAATTGGTGGACTCGGGTTAGCACTGCTTCCTTTTAGTGCCAGTTTAGCCTCAGTTGTTAGATGAACACTGTTGTAATAATAATAGTAATCCTTGCATTTGACATAGCGCCTTATCACGTCGTTGAGGAGACGTCTCAAAGCGCTTCACAGAATATACTGTAAAGTGTAGTGACTGTAGGCTCAGGTCGTCTAACTTGATGTTTCAGTGCAGTGCTGAGGGAGTGCTGCGTCGTGGAAGGTGCCGTTTTTCAAATGAGACGTTAAACAGAGGTCCTGTCTCTCCCTTCGGCACCTTGGGACGTCCTCCTGACATGAAAAGCGCTGTACAAATGTAATTTGTTGTTGTGTACTTTAAAGATCGCACTATTACACTATTAGAAAAGGGTTCCCCTCTACATTGCTGCCTGGCCAATGATCCCCCAGATAAATTTGTCATTCACCTCACGGCTGTTAGTAGGAATGGTTACCCCATTTGACTACATGTATAGAAAGTGCCCCATTTAGCAGTTATTACTGCCAAGCAGAGAGCTGTTCTAAAAAGGACTTTCTTTGACCTGTTGGAGCCCAAACTTTTCGCAAACGAGGAGACATTTTGCGCTCAGTACTGAGAATTCAGTTGCGTTGCGGTTTAACTAGGTTGCTGCGATTTCTGTACAAGCAGTTGGGTTTGAGTAATTACTCAAGAGCTTTGAATTCTCCCTGACACTGAATCTGTTTCACATTTGGATTTTTTTTTGGTTTTGTTTGTGCGTGGATGCACAGTGGATGATCCAAATCCCACCCCCTCTAGGACAGATTTGGCCATTTTCCCCAAAGAAAATGGAAGATACATCTGGAATGTACCTATTATGTGAGACGTCTATCATTCCCTTTATTCAGTAGGGTCTTAACTTGGTTGACAGATGCAATATATCTGCTGTGGGGGAAGGCTGCCTTATTCACTGGGTTGTTAGTCAAAGAGACCATGATCGGAAATGACTTGTGTGTCTAATCTGAATGCTTGTTATTATACAACTCTTAAGTGATTTTATAATCATAAAGCCATCAGTTTGGAGATCTGACCACATGGTGTTCAAATGAACATATCTTACTATGTGGAACCTTCCACTCTCAACACATCTACTACCCCAGACACATCTCCTGTGCAAAGTCTCGAAGGAAACAACGCATTCCGGCAATTGAATGGAAACAGTTTCCTGAATCTCTGCAAGAACGGGTTCTTTGACTTAAACTGAATCTCTTTCCCACTACAGTCAGCCTTACATAAGTCATATCTTCGGGAGGATATCACAACTTTAATAATAATAATCCTTGCATTTGATACAGTTCCTTATCACGTCTTCGAGACCTTTCAAAGTGCTTCACGGAATGTACTATAAAGTGAATTGACTTTGTATTTTGTGTGTGAAATTTTAAATTCACAGAATTAAGAGAGAAAAGGAACGCCCTAAAGATGTTTAGCCTCCCCCACTCCACCCACAAAACACAGACAGCTATTCTCGTACCCACGTCTAAAGTTCTATCACGTTTAATGCTCGTTATTGACTCCTTCCACCCTACTATTGGTGGCCAAGCCTTTAGCCAATGCGCCCCTCCTCTCTGGAACTCTCACCTGAAATCCTTTACCTTTGCTGTCTTTTGCTACCTTCAGAATCCTCTTTAAAACACATCACCCTGACTGTGCTTTTGGCACACACGCTTAGATGCTCCTTCCATTCCTATCTGCTCAACACCCTCTATCATCTCGGTAAATCACTTGTACCGTGGAAGGCCTTCGGCGAAGGAGACTGACTGACCAGAGAATAATTTGCAGCGTCATAAAACAATCGGGTTTCTTGCGGGAGAGTGACATAAATCTGGAAATGTTTTGTGTATCTGCAGAAAACGGTGGCATCTCTTCCCTCCAGAAGACACCTCCTTCCTGTATCCCACTAGAATTCCTTACGAAGAGTCGAGCGTGTTTAGCAAAGTTAACGTTGTCAACCCTAACGTCAAGATGTTCCCTCAGTTTGGTCGCGCCAAGCCCCACATTGTGACTCTACATCCAGGACAGGTGAGTGAGTGTGTGGTAGGAGTTTAAGTTCTGAGTCAATTTTTATACTGTTACTGTTACTGTTAGGTACGAAACAATAAATAGTTTGGGACACGACATGTCAAGCGACTGCCAGGATGGTGGAAGGCGAACTGGAAGGACCTGGGTCTTCTCTCGCCTCGCAAATTCTTACTTTCTTATTACTTGTGTCCGGCAACCTATAATCAAACTGAATTTGGTGATTGGAACATAAAGTCAGTGGTGGTGGTGGAAGGGTTGGGGGAACAATTTGTGCTTCTAAAATTACGAAGGGAATTAGAGTGGTTTGATGTGAAGTCCATCTGAATATAACTTCAAAATAATAATAATCCTTGCATTTTATACAATAATAATCATCCTTGCATTTGACACCATGTTGCCGAGACGTCTCGAAAGAGCTTCACAGATTATACTGTAAAATGTAGTGGCTGTGTATTTTGTGGACGAAACGCGGCAGCCAATTGCGCACAGCAGCGTCCCACAATCAGACATCATCAGGCTGCCTTGGGTTCACCTTGTTCCCAGTTTGTACTTGACTAAAGCCCAGATTGACCTTCAGGCTTTGCATTTGTTGTGGCTTCAGGCAAATCTTTGCAGAATAAAAAAAAATCCCGACAATTTTATCCAGAATTTAAAGCTTTCGCAGCTTTTAGAGGATTTTTCTTAGAGAGGGAGAGAGAAAGTATATATTTTTTTTATCTGGATTATTTTTTGCGTGCGTTAAAATAGGTCAAAATTCCGTAGGTCAACCGAGACGAAGAGATGCGAATATAAGGATTATTATTATTTACGTCTTGAGGGATCACAGTTTTTGTACATTTTAAAATCTTGACGTCTCGAAGATGTGATATAATGATACTAATCCTTGCATTTGATATAACGCCTTAACATGTTATCGAGACGTCTCAAAAGTGCTTCACTGCAAAGTAAATTGACTGTGAATTTTGTGGGTGAAACACACCAGGCTAATTGCCCACAGCAGTGCCCCACAAACAGTCGTGGACTGAGTGACCATATAATGATTATTGTTATTTTGAATGGATTATTACCCCTGGAAAGCGATACGCCAATCGACTAACAACTGGGGTCCCTACTTACTGCTGGGTAAACAGAGGCGTGTGGAGTAAGGAAACTTGCCTAAGGTTTTGTCCCGCCTGGGAATCGAACCCGGGTCCTCTCGCTTGTGAGGCGAGTGCTCTAACCGCTGCACTACAGGACTCCACTGTAGATTCTTGTGGTTTACAGTCCAAACTTACCACAGTTAAAAAAGACCCTCGGCCATTTTGCAAGTTTATTCCTGGAATAAATCCACGTCCAGCGTTTGACATGTACTGGGAACGTACAGACCCCCGGGGCGGTGGGGGTGCGGAGGGAAGAGGGGAGAGGGCAAAGGTCAATGATGACTGAAACGATGGAGTCAATCATTTCACTTCCACGTTGCGATCGACTAACAAAAAAATGTGGTCATTGCAGCTTTTGCCGGCAATAAAGCGGTCACAACATTTGACTGTGATTTTGGTGAAGTGCTCTCGAGATATTTCAACGTGAAGGCAGTATAAAAATGCAAGTTTTACCCTTCACAATAATAATAATAATAATAATAATAATCCTCCCTGTATTTGCTATAGCGCCTTATCGAGTCGTTGAGAACCCGTTGAGAACCTCGCATGCGAGGCGAGCGCTCTAACTACCATCAAGGTCAGGCTTGTCCCTCGTCCCCTCCGCTCAACCGTCAGCTCCCGCTCTTTCAGCCACGACGCCACGAAGCTTTGGAACTCTCTCCCCCAATCCCTCCGCTGTACCCCCTCGTTACCCTCTTTGAGTTCACGGCTGAACCCTGCCTCTTCGACCGGTCACCTCCACCTCCCCCCCCCCCCGCCCTCCAAGCCCAGTTCGGCGTCAGGCTCCGGCTCTGTTAAGCGCTCCGAGATGCTGCCCTGCGTGAAGGGCGCGGTGTAAATGCAAGTTGTTGTCGTCACGCTGAGAGGGAAGGGTGTGTTCTTCTGAGGCTGAAGTTAAGATTCATAAGATGTACTTTTGGCGCAGAGTGGAGGGAAGCTGGATCTACCTCATCCAGGTGCTCCGAGACACCGCCTGGCCTGAAGGCCGCTATAGAAAATGCATGTTGTTGTTGTTGTTGTCAGAGCGTGTTTGATGTTAAAAATCAGAAAGAGTTCCGTTGTTCAACGCTAAATGAAATACCTCATCTTAAAGCCCATCAAACGGCCTTAAAATATAAATATACCAATCAGCTGGTCCAGTAGTTTAGCATTGGTTGATGTGCCACAGTGTGGAGGGGTGAGAGCGCTGGTTAACAGCTGAATGGTATCAAGCGCCAACCAGTCTTTGGTTCTCAGCTCCACTGTTCCATTTAAGTGACGTCAAATCTCATTTCGGGAGAATTTCCATCACTTATCTTACGCTGCACAGAGTGACACGGAAATTTCAGCACAGGAGTTTCGTGCCTAAACTGTGCTCGCCACCATCCCTCACCTCCCGTCCGCCGCTGGAGATATCTCTAATCCTATTTTGCTCTTTTTCCTCCATTGCTCTTCCCTATCTTAACTTTTCTAGCGTTTCTCAGTTTCCTTTTATGAATGGCGCCATTGAGACCGATTTACCAGCCACTTGCCCTAGATAACGCATTCCACATCCTAATGTGAACGTTGCCGTGGAGGTCAACTTTCCCGTGTTGCCCTTCCGAAGAAGACTGCTTTGTAAATCGTGAGGGTGAACAGACAAAACGATGGGAGGGGGGGAACGACTTGATAAGCAACGGCTGCAAGCTCCGTTTGAATTACAATGTATAACTATAATAATCCTTGCCTTTGATACAGCGCCTTATCACGTCTTCGGGACGTCTCAAAGCGCTTCGTACAGTATACTGTAAAGTGGAGTGACTGTGTTTTTTTTTTAAGGGATCCACCAATCGACTAACAACCGGGTTCCTACTTACTGCAAGGTAAACTGGCGTGTGGAGAAAGGAAATTTACCTAAGGTTTCGCCCCGCCCGGGAATCAAACCCGGGTCCTCTCACTTGTGAGGCAAGCGCTCTAATCAATAAGCTTCAGGAATTCTGCTGATCGTTATCGCTGTGTCTTAGAGTTTCGGCCTTCATTTTGTTTCAAACGGCGTTCCTCACGACGGTACAGAAAGGCGATTTGAGATAGCGATGTCTGGAAGTATCACTCGCTGGGCATCGCAGTCTGAACCCAAACCTGATCGATGTTCTGTCCCTCGAATCATTAGCGCCGTAAAAAGTGGATTCGTTTTTCTTTCGTCCAGAAGAAGTTGCGATCACTGCCATGTGGCCTTCCCTGTTTTAACACACACAAACCTGTGAGTTGTGGTTGTGTGATTGGCGGGAATCCAGAGGTGACGATCTGACAGCCACACATTATGAGAGCCACATATTGTAAATTAGTGATAGCCACAAGAGAGACGATTTTTGTATTAAAAAAATCTGGGAAACTGTACCATTTATGAATTACCCTGAGACGAGAGCGAGTTAATCAAAGAGCGGTTTTGGTAATTTAAGGGCCAGGGCAAGTTTTATTTCTTCTGTCCCAGTCGCTGGCCGTTTCTTAATCATCCGTCTCTTCTCAGTTCGGCATAAATCTGTATCAGGTGCGTGTACATACTCCAGTGAGTCATACCCAGTTGAGGCAGCTGTGTACATGGAATTATTTTTCATTCGTTTTAGACCATTTCGCTAAAATATATGTAAATTGCTTTCGGGAAACGCGTCTGTAAATTGGAAAGATTTTAATTCTTTTTCCGAGCCAGGGAGCTATTCTGGGCCTACAGGGCGCGAGATCAAACTATGATGGGTACAATTATGAAATATCATGTTTTGTTTTGCGCATCGAAGTGATGGATGGCTGTGCTTGTTTATGGTAATTTCCGACAGAGCAGTAATGGAGAGCAGTTAATTCTGGTAAAATCCGACATCCCGCCTGCGGATCAGGCATGCCTACCAGTATTTAGCGATTATGAAAAAATATATTTGCCGCCAAGAAGTGGGTGGTGGTGGCTAATGAGGAGACGTACCCAGTCCAACACATCTGTCGTTCGTAACAAACCCCTTCTCCCCATTGCCAACGACTGCGCTTTCAGCCACTGAACACTCTGGAACATTCTTCCTCCATCCCTCCGCCTCCGCCTCCGCCTCGGCCCCCTCCCTTCCCCGTCTTCAGATCGCACCTGAAGACCTTCCTCTTCGACCGTGCCTTCGGTCACCTCACCTTCCCCCTTGGCTCGGGGACGCTACGCTGTGTGAGGGGCGCTGTGTAAATGCAAGTTGTTATCGATTGTTTTTGATGATCCATCCCGAACCCATCTCTCTCTCTTACCTGCTGCTAATTGAGTAATACGCCTTTGGCCGTGCAGCAAAAGAAACCGAAGTCGCAGTCGCTATTTATCTTTGCGGAAGCTGTGAAACACGATCCGATTGCTTCGTGTTTCATTGCCGTGATTCAATTTTGCACGATGGGAAGTTAGGATGGAATGCCCAGGCTGGAGTTAAACGCTTGTGTTGGAGTTTATTATTTCAAATATTAACAATCCTTTTGACGTAGCGCCTTATCGTGTCTTCGAGACGTCTCAAAGCGCTTCACAGAATATACTGTAAAGTGCAGTCACTGCGTATTTTGCGGGTGAAACGCGGCAGCCAACTGCGCACAGCAGAGTTCCCCACAAACAGTCGTGGTTGGAGTGACCGCATTTTTTTCTTAGAGGGATTATTACCCCCGGAAAGCGGGCGCTCTCGCCACTTACCCTACTCTATGGGGCTTGCGTTTAGCTGGGATTGTGGGGAATTATTTGCAGCGCAGCGAACATTGAATAACTTGATGTGCAGAGTTACTGGCAGAAAATCCCGTTGTGGACCTCGGTTGGGTCCCTCCTGATGGCATCTCTTTTCAGGGCCAAAGATCCCAACTCCAGCAAGGAATTGCCACAACTGAAAAATGAAACCGGCATCAGTTGTCAGCTCTTAACTTGTGCAGCTCTGGAGCGCAAGCTTAAGCCCTGCGTCTAAACCTACCCGGGAGTAAATGGAAACTGAGCTTGATCCGAGGTCTCTTAATTAGCAACTCCTAGCTCTGTCGCAGACAAGATATCACTTTTATCCCAAAGGCTGTCTCATTAAGCAAAGGCATCGCTGTTACCTTTTGGCCCTGTGGATAGATGTCTTTTCAGGACTAATGCAGTCGCCTCGCAAACCAGCAGGCTTAGCGAACGCGACATCGGGGTGTAAGGAAAAGTGTCATCACAGCAGCATTTGAGCTGTCCTTCGGATGAGACGTTAAACCGAGCTGCTCGTCTGCCTGTTCAGATCCCACGGCGCTATTCGAAAAGAGAAGGGAGTTTCTCTCTCTCTCTCTCTCTCTCTCTCCAGGTGTCCTGGCCAACAATCCCCCAAAATAAAAATTGGTCGCTCACTCCATGACTGTTTGTAGGACACTGCTGTGTGGCCCCCACATTTTGCCCACAAACTATACTCAACAGTACATCCTGTGAAGCGCTTTGAGACTTCCCAACGATGTGATAAGGTGCTATATCACACGCAAGAATTACTATTATTATTATTATTATTTAAAAAACACCTTGATGCTGTGATGGGATGTTGGTAGGATGGGAGTTTTGGAAGGGTGAGGTCAGATTGGGCTGAAGAGCCTTTCTCACCTGAACCAATCTTGTTATTTTCTGGGTTCTTGTATTTGTAGGATGTTTGCTGTGCGATAATGGCTGCCATGTGTGTCCAACTACACTACACGTCACATTTAACTGCCGTAAAGCACTTACAATGCGATAAAGTGTCATAAAAATGCGAGTTCTTTATCAATACCACTTTAGTTGAATGTTTGTGGTGATCCTATTACCAGCAGTATTTAACTTGCTTCTAATTAATTGGATCTGCCAAATCAATATGCGGTTCTGGCAATGGAAACAGCCAGAGTTGTTTCCTAGCCTAAGTTGTTCCTGTTAAAAACTATTGGAATCAATCTATAACTGATTGAATGTTTCCCTTAACAGTTCCCTTAATTGGCTTGACCGCCCGTATTCTCACCCACACAAAACTCTGTATCCCCATCATGCCAGTCCTCGCCAGGCTCCACAGGCTCCCGATCACAGAATGGATCGATTTGAAGATCTTCTCACTAGGTCTACAAATCCCTTCACGCCCTGGCACCTCCGGCCTGCTTTCTTCCCACTCCACGACCTGCTGCCTCTGCTCGACTGGCTCTGGCCTCCTGCTCATCCCTCGTCCCTTCCGCTTGACCATCGGTGGGCACGCTTTTAGCCACTACACCCCAAAGCTTTGGAACTCTTCCCCCCCCCCAATCCCCCTGACTTGCCACATCCATAGGTTGGGCTAAGCCTCGACAATGGTGTTCACCTGCCAAAATTGGCTGCCTTATTTCGTTCACAAAATATACAGTCAATTCACTTTACAGTATATTCTGTGAAGCTCCTTGTGACGTCTCGAAGACGTGATAAGGCGCTATAGCAAATGCAAGGATTATTATTACCATTCAGTGTGTGATAGAAAACCTTATAGAGGTACAGTTTACACAATCCGAAAGGGCAAAGCAAAAGTAAACTCGGAACAATATTTTCAGCGACGCCAAGGTCAAAAACAGCAGAGAGACCGAGGTGTTGAGGGAAATCAAAGCAAATCTTGTGATCTTGGATCAAACAAAGTATTTGGGTTTGAACAAATTGCCATAAAACATGATTGAGGCAAAGGACATTGAGCCTCGTTTAAGAAGCTTAATGCTGTAATGTGATAAGGCGCTATATGCAAGGATTATTATTTATTATTATTATATATTGAGAGGACAGTAGGGTTGGTGTCATGGAAGGATGAGGTCTAATGTTTGTTTTTTTAAAATCTGTACCTCTCTTGCGAACAATTACATTTTAGTTTGGCGACATGATTCAATTAGGTGTCCCGGGGGGAAGTGAACATGGAATGAGAGATAACGAGAGAGAATGAGTGTTCCAAACTCCCAAGACATCCAGCTTTTTTTTAATCTATAATCGTGACCTCCCAAGGCCCCATTTGCTGTGATTTACACTGTTCTCATTTCATCTCAGTTGAGGGATCCGCCAAGGATTTCTGAGCCAGACCAGATGGTACGGTTCATTTGCATGCGAAAGTCAGCTCCCACAATCGGTTTCAAGCGTAATATATTGAAATAATATTGTTGCCGTGTTCAGAATAACCCTGCTCTGTGGAGAACGCAGACAAATTTGCAGAGTTAAGCGTTGCCAAACAGTGAAAAGTTTAATCATAACAATGGTAATAATGCTTGCATTTGATACAGCGACTTATCAGGTCGTCGGGACGTCTCAAAGCACTTCACAGAATGTATTGTAAAGTGGAGTGACTGTGTATTTTGTGGGCGAAACGCGGCAGCCATTTGCGCACAGCAGCGTCCCCACAAACAGCCGTGGATTGAGTGACCACATTTCTTTTTAGAGAGATTATTACCCCCGGAAAGCGATCCACCAATCCGCTAACAAACGAGTTCCTGCCTACGAAAACAGAGAGGAGGGAGTGTGTGGAGGAGGGAAACTTGTCTAAGGTTTTGCCCCACACCAGCCAGGAATTGAACCCAGGTCCTCTCGCTTGCAGAGCGAGTGCTCTAACCACTACGGTACAGGTCTCCGTGGGGGAGTTCAGGGGGAAAGTGCAGGCGGGGACCTCTCTTGCAGGTAGGTTCATTGCTGTTGACATGACTATTATAAATTGGCTTCTCTTTCTCTTTCCAGGTCCTGTTTGTCCCCAGGCACTGGTGGCACTATGTCGAATCTTTGGATCCTATCAGCGTCAGCATGAACTCCTGGATTGAACTGGTAACGCATAGGAGTTTGGTTTTAGACTAATCGAAACACAAACCTTCAACCCGCAAAATATACAGTCACTCCACTTTACGGGATATTCTGTGAAGCGCTTTGAGACTTTGAGCCTCAAAGACGTGATAAGGCGCAACATCAAATGCAAGGAGTTATAATAATAATAATCTTATCGCTCTCTTGATTAATATAATAATATAATAATATAATGATATAATGATAATGATATAATGATATAATGATATAATATAATGATATAATGATATGATAATATAATATAATAATAATATAATAATAATATAATAATAATATAATAATAGGGCGAAACTCGGCAGTCAGTTGAGCACGGCAGCGTCCCACATTGCCAAGCGAGTATCTACCAGTTTGCTTCGTGCAGAACCGGTGGGTTTCCTCACGAGTGTCGTGGCAGGGAATTCCATCTTCCTACCACCCTCAGGGCGAAGAATTACTCTTTCCTAACCTTCCCTTTAATTCCGCTTGGGTTTATCATAAATTGCCAGTGTCCACAGCTTGAGTGGAAAATGTCCAAAAAGCAGCTACAGCTCGGTGATAGATAATCAAGCTTTGTAGTCTTCCTTCCTGTCAGCTTGATTTTTACCTCCCTTCTCGGCTGGATCCTGCCAAACTGAGGCCAGAAGCCAGGAAGTCTGATGAATGGAGAGGAGGCAGTGAGTGAGCTAATGCACAGAGGGCAAATCACTTATTTGCACGTGGAACAGTGGGTAAATGCGCAAAAGGGATTTGTGTATAAACAGGTCACCTACAAGCGGATTTCACTCTTACCCAGTGAATTTGGAGCCCTGCTGCGCAGTGGTGAGAGCGAGAGCGAGAGGACCCCGGGTTCGATGACCAGGCAGGCATGGCGAAACCTTGGGCAAGTTTCCTTACTCCGAATGTCTCTGATAACCTAGCAGTGAGTAGGAACCCTGTTGTATGTCGCTTGGTGGATCGCATTTCCGGAGGTAATAATCCTCCCCCTAAAAAAACATTTGGTCACTCAATCCACAGCTGTTTGTCGGGACGCTACTGTCTGCAATTGGCTGCCGCATTTCGCCCACAAAATACACAGTCAATTCACTTTACAGTATATCCTGAGAAGCGCTTTGAGATGTCTCGAAGATGTGATCAGGCGCTGTATCAAATGCAAGATTTATTATTATTATTATAAATTTGCAGCGTTGCAAGCAGTGAAACGTTCAAATTTTGTCCTTGTTTATGCCTCCTGAGAATACATTCTCACAAAGGTGGACGTAAGGTACATAAGGTAATGCCTCAAAGCGCTTCGCAAAGACAGGGTCAGATGCTGAGCAAGGGCAAAGGGACAAATCCTCCCGTCAACCCTGACAGAGTGAAGACGGAACAAGATGTCAGGAAACAATGTTCTAAATCTACAGAGAGAGAGAGAGAGAGAGAGAGAAGTGGCACTTTTAAACGTCAAGAACGGGAGAGACAGCGTTTAACAAGAGATGGCCACTACTGGCAGATCTCTTCAACCCTCCTGACAGTCTGTCAACTCCGCATATTGCAGGGGGAATAAGGAGCAGTCGGGCCAATTTTCTGTGTTGAATTGCGCTGATAATCTTTTTAAACAAACTCTGTCTGAACACACAGTAGAGATTGGTCTGCGTGTAGCGCCCCTGGCAGCAAGAATGCGAACAGCTTTCCGGATACAGAGAGCTCCTTGCTATGACATTGACAAAGGTGGTCCAACTGCTGGCCCGATTTAATTCATCCCGCGGGCCGATTTAACTCCCCCCCCCCCCCCCCCCGCTCTATTTCATCTGGACCATCCTCTCCTTCCGTACATAAACCGTAAATGTTATGTTGTGTTTCTGGAAGGGAAACGCAAAAATATTGCATATGCCCTCAGCAGCCAAACAAGTTGTCATAACGAGGGGTTGCTCTGGGTTTTACTTGTGTTTAGGCACATCCAACCTCATTGGAAGGATGTCAGTTATAATAATAATGACAATAATAATAGTATTACAGAGCAGTATGATACAGTAAAGCTCACATTGTGGACGTTTTGCCCACAAATATTACAGTCAATTCACTTTACAACATATTCTGTGAAGCGCTTTGAGACGTCTAGAAGACGTGAAAAGCGCTTCATAGAATATGTTGTAAAGTGAATTGACTGTAACATTTGCGTAAGTCAAATTAAATGTATGGTCCCAACTGATACGACTTATAATAATAATAATCATTGCATTTGACATAGCGCCTTATCACATCTTTGAGACGTCTCAAAGCGCTTCACAGAACATACTGTAAAGGCAGTTGACTGTATGTTTTATGGGCGAAAATGTATATTTTGTGGGCGAAGACTGATATGAGGTTTTGCTGTACTATCTGTCAGAAGGTTAGCACAGTTGACCACGTTCTAGTTTTTAATCAGTCTAATAGAGCAGCGACGTGCAGTGTGGGGCTTGTTATAATGTGCAGAAAGCTGGACTCCAAACACGAACGTACCTTAATGAGGTTAGAATTTATTACCCATCGTCCCATCCGTCTGTCTGATGAATGGTGTTTCCATCTCATCCCTGTGTTTTCACCGCTGGGTAGAAATGAAGCCCGGAGTCAATTATAAATCCAATTTATCATTTGAATTCATCAGCAAAAAAAACAGCCTTATTTATATATATGTGTATATATTTATATACTAAACTCCGTACACCCATCACATCAACGACAACAACTTATATAGCGTCCTTCACCTGGAGTAGAATCCTGGAGCACTTGTTCTCGCCAGGCTCCAGTGGCTCGCTATTGCCTAACTAATAGAGTTCATATAAAATAATATAATTCAGGTCGCGCCTGAAGACCTGGCTTGGCATCGTGTTCCGCCACTGTCTGGGACACTGTTCTGCGTGAGTGGAGCTAAATATAGGCTCTAAGGGACACAAGCGAGCAGAAGGTAAGTGGTAATTGATTTTGAGAGTGTCGGTTTGAAAATCTGTCCCTCCCAGTGCCAGCAGTTATGGGGTACAAATGGGCATGTCATGCTACAGCTCCCGTTTTGATGATAGCACTAAATCATTTTAAGCATTACTCTCCACGCAAGCTTGGCAGCCATCACAGCATAATCTTCCCGACAGCGAAACTCTCGCACCAAGCAACAACGCAAATGATAATGATCGCAGACCTCATTCGTTTTGCTGATGGATTGTGACTGTTTGCACTCGGTCATGGATGCTGTCTGAGGGGATGGGAGCTTTTGGATAAACCGGTGTTTTACTTTCGGGTTGGTGTTGAAGATAAAGAACGCTTCTGCACATTGCAAGTTCTGCACTTCCACTTTCCGTGCTTCAGAGCCTGTTAAAACTATTAATCTGGCACATTCTCCACTTAGCTGGGCTGAACGTAACTTTGCTAGCTAAAAGGGTAGGGTAGAGTTACAGCTTTCATCCGACTTGATGCATCGGGATGCTGTACCTTGATGGAAAGGCATCGCAAGCAAACAAATTTGTGGAGTCCCGTAGCTCAGTGGTTAAAGCGCTCACCTCGCAAGCGAGAGGACCCGGGTTCGATTCCCGGGCAGGACGAAACCCTAGGTAAGTTTCCTTACTCCGCACACACACACGCCTCTGCTTACCCAGCAGTAAGTGGGTAAGTTAGTTGATTGGCGGATGTGAGTAGAACGAGCTAACCAGTATGCTACAGGACTCCACCTCCTTCAAAGGTGATTGATGTCAAAGCGTACGTAGTGACTGTGTATTTCCAGGCAAACGCGGCGGTCCCACAGACAGCCGTGAAATGAACGACCCAATTTATTTGGAGGAGGACTGTTAGGCTTTCATTGCTATGAATAGGTTTTTATTATTTTGGAAGCACTCTGAAGATTAAAAAAAAAACAGATGGGAGACGAGGAGAAATCTTGTTACCCAGCGAGTTGTTGGGATCCTGAAAGGCTGCTGGAAGCCGATTCAATAATAACTTCAAAAAGGGGATTGGATATTTACTCGAAAAGAAACAATTTGCAAGGCTCTGGGGAGTGAGTGGGATTAACTGGATAACTCTTTCAAAGAGACGACACAGGCACGATCGGCCGAATGGCCTCCTTCGGCGCTGTGAGATTCTACGATAAAGCTTCCCTTTCCTCTTTTAATTGTGTGAAACGTGGGATAGTCTTTCACTGGGTTTTATCCTCCACATTGTGTTTTATTATCTTAATATCCTCAGAGGGGGTTAAACAAGGACACGAGAGACGAGTAGCTTTGAACGAGGAGTTCATCTTTATGTATGTGTGCGGCCGTTATTGTTTTGGATAATTAAATCCACGCTGCAGTGTATCTTTCGGAAGAATATTCAATGATTTGTTTTATGCATCTCAGCTGTGCCCTTACGAACTGCAGCACAACTATAACAGTGCCAGGCAATAACAATGCAGAGAGAGCCGATCTGTGTACCGTCTACTTACTGACAAGAATACAGTTGAAACAAATGTCGTACGTTTAAAAGATCCTGTGTCTCGCCTGACTGGGGTCAGCTGTCTTTCTCTAGTTTATTATAATAATAATAATAATCCTTGCATTTGATATAGCGCTTTTCACGTCGGGAGGACGTCCCAAAGCGCTTCACAGAACACACTGTAAAGTGAATTGACTGTATATTTGTGGGCAAAATTATTGTGTTATCATAAGTATAATGGTTAGAGCACTCGCCTCGCAAGCGAGAGGACCCGGATTCGATTCCCGGGCAGGGCAAAACCTTAGGCAAGTTTCCTTACTCCACACACATGTTTATCCAGCAGTAAGTAGGAACCCGGTTGTTAGTCGAATGGCAGATTGCTTTCCGGGGGCAATGATCCCTCAAAAGAAATGGTCACTCAATCCATGGCTGTTTGTGGGGACGCTGCTGCGCGCAATCGGCTGCCGCGTTTCGCCCGCAAGATATGCAGTCAATTCACTTTAGGGTATATTCCGTGAAGCGCTTTGAGACGCCTCACCGACCTGTTAAGGCGCTCTATCAAATGCCAGGATTAATTATTAGTATTATTACAAAGGCATGAAGTAGTTAGAATGTGTAAGCAATATAAATACTGCGATGCATAAGTGCATAACAAGCGGCCCACTTTAACTGCATGTGGGTGAATTTACCATCAATCGGGAGTGTTCCACAATCCACTCGATGTTTGTCAGAACAAAATGGAACAAAGGCAGATGAAGTGCTTTGAGGCATCCTCGTGTCGGGAGGACGTATCAAAGCACTTCACACAGCTGGCTGGGTGCCCGAGTTTTTCTTGGTGGAGGATGAGCAGAAGCACAGTCAACAAGGTAAATCCGACTGGAACTCTCTCCCTCAATCCCTCCACCTCCCCTCCCCTCCCCCCTTTCATCCCCATCTTCAGGTCGCACTTGAAGACCTTCGTGTTCGACCGCGCCGAACGGTCCCCTCCCCACCTCCCTCCAACTCGACGTGGAGTTTCGCCACTGTCGAGCGCTCTGGGGCGCTACCCTCTGCGTGTGGGGCGGGGTGTAAATGCAAGTTGTTGTTGTTGGTAAATCGCAAGATGGGTATTTAAAGGTGGAGGAGGGAGGATTCGAGGATATAGATAGTGGTTATGGACCTGGAGGAAAACTCAGCGGCTCTTTTCAAGTAGTTGTGTTAGTTCTTTCATGATTCTTGCTACGAGGCCATTGTTGGTGACTCTCCTCCTGCCTGTCCTGTTCGCTAGGCTGAAGACGACGAGGCCAGAGTCAGCGAGGCGTTGACACGCACCGCGGTCTACGCTCTGAAGTCCGCAGAGAATTTGGCCGACGCTGGCAGCTGGCTCAATCCCACAGAGGTACTTGAGGAGACACCCATTTTTACAACGCCTGTCATCTCGAAACGTCTTCCATGTCAAAAGCTTGACATGTCCTGTAGCACAGTGCTCGCCTCACAAGCAAGAGGACCTGGGTTCGATTCCCGGGCAGGGCGAAACCTTAGACAAGTTTCCTTACTCCCCCCCCCCAACCCTCCATCATGTCTGTGCTGATGTTAGCTCTCCCGTGCACTTACTGTTATACAGTCTACTCTTCAAATACTGTTGTGGAGTCAACTAAAGGAGCTGGAATATGTTAACACCGGTGATCTGTCTTTCTCTTTTGGACTAGGTTAACATTATGTCCCACGAAACCAATCTGCGTTACCTAAACCTTGCAGTTCAGGCTTGCAACTCGAAGCCTTACCTGCCGTTATCCCCCTCCCCAAATGATGGGACCTCACCAGCGAGGCGTTCATCTTCCAACTCACCCAAGAAAAGGAACGCGAGTCGAGCAAAGTGTTTCCCGCCTCCGAGCGAGACCCCGTGGGAGATGAATCCGCCATTCCGTTTGGTCCCCACCTCCTTCCGGTTGGTACGGCTCACGCAGGAAGCGGTGGGTCGGGCTGTGTTTCGTGCGACTCTGAGCAGTGCGAGGGACCTCTGGATGGAGATGACGTGGAGCTCACCCATTGTCGGGGAAGGACAGGCCTGAGTATTGGGTGCGTGGCGGCTGGGTGTGATGGCACGTTGTCAAGCGGAGGGGGAGATGGTGGGAGCGAGGATGGGCTGACCACCGATGACTTGCTGGAATGTTTGGTTCACCCTGACGTTATTCGGTTAGCGACTCGAATCCTGCTGGACAGGCAAAGCTCCCGTTAGTCACACCAGCTCGTCCATGTTTCGTTTGTCTCAACCGAGCTCCCCGTCGGTGCCCTGTTCAGGTGGACGTTAAAGATCTCGCGGCGCTATTCAAAAAGTGAATGGAGTTTCTCTCTCTCTCTCTCTCTCTCTCTCTCTCTCCCGGTGGCCTGGCCAAATAAAATTGGTAGCTCAGTTCATAGCTGTTCTTGTATCAAAAGGTTGTTGTGTTTCGCCTAAAAATACACCAGTCACTACACTTTACAGTAAAACCCCGTGAAACACTTTCCAGGGGTAATAATCCCTTTAAGGTATAATAATAATTTGGTCACGCAATCCACCACTGCCGCGGGACACTGCCGTGCGCAATTGGCTCCCGCGTTTCGCCCACGAAATATACAGTCACTGCACTTTACATTATATTCTGTGAAGTGCTTTGAGACGTCGCGATGATGTGATTAGACGCCATGTCAAATACAGGGATTATTATTATGACGTCTTCCTGGCATGAAAGGCGTTGTATGAAATGTAGGAATTATTATTATATTAATCTCGAAGCTAAGGCAGGCTCGAGCAAAACAGCCGTCCTCCAGAGACAAAAAGACAAAGCCATTGTGCGGCATCTGTATTTAACATACAGGATAGAGGGCGTTCCCTGAATTTATAGCAACTAAATCAAGCCAGACTGTTTCACCATCCCTGGAGCTGTCTAAACTCTGAAGTCTGGTTCCATCCAGAATCTAGATAACGCTATAAATTAACCCTCGCGGCCATTTCTGTGAGAACAGGAGCCAGAAACATTGGAATAAATCTCCAGGCTGTCCGGTCCGCAAAGAAAAGCGTCAAGAATTATGCTTGTAGGGGATTTTTGCCATGTATTCTGTCGGGAACCCTACTGCTCTGTGAGGATAATCTGACTTAATGATTTTAGCAGAGTAGCAAAGGGGGATGCAGGTCTGAGGAGAAAGTTGGTTACCCAGCAATAAATGGGAACCCGGTTGTTAAATCACTTTCCGGGGGTAGTAACCTCTTCAAATTAATAAATAAATGCGGTCACTCAATCCACGCCCGTTTGTGGGGACGCTGCTGTACACAATTGACTGCCGCGTATCGCCCACAAAATATACAGTCAATTCACTTTGCAGTACATCCCGTGAAGCGCTTTGAGACGTCTCAAAGACATGAAGAAGGCGCTGTATCAGGTGCGAGTATTATTATCAAACTACTCACCATTTTGAACATCAAAAACTGCCCCATTAACGCCGTACTATTAAGCGACCGCTGGTTTGAGCTTCTGCTTAAGATCCTCGGTAAATTCACAGGGAAATGTCTTTCAAACAGTGCCTTCTCAATGGTGAGCTGCATAGCATTTATTTTCTTCCCCTTGTTGAGATTTTTCGTTCAACGCCACAAAAGATTTCCAAGAAAATTGTGACACAAAAGAGTGGGTTAGACATGATGACCCTGGAATCAGACACTCAGATCAGTATAGATTTATTGCCTGTCAATGGAGGCTCTTAACTTGGCTGGTTTGCACTTTGAGACCAATCCTTCTCTCTGTATAGATGTCGGGCTAACGATTCCCAGGACCATTCAACTGACTTTTCTGAAAAGATTGAAATTGTACGTTCTCTGTCACAATCAGTCGACGTCCAACGGACCTTAGCAATATTCCTGTCACTGCGCTCGCTCGCTCTCTCCCTGTCTCCCCCGATGGAGTCCCGTAGCTCAGCGGGTTAGCGCGCTCGCCTCGCAACGAGAGGACCTGGGTTGGCTTCCCGAGCAGGGCGTAACATCGGGCAAGTTTCCTTACTCCACACACGCGCCTCTGTTCGCCCAGCAGTGAGCAGGAACACCGTTGTTAGTTGATTGGCCGATCACTTTCTTGGGGATAATAATCCCTCCAGAAAAAATTTGGTTGCTTAATCCATGTTTGTGGGACAGTTGGCTGCCACGTTTCGCCCACAAAATACAGTCAATTTACTTTAGAGTACGTCCTGTGAAGAGCTTTGAGACGCCTCTCAACGACGTGATAAGGTACGATATCAAATGTGAGGATTATTATTATTACCTTGGTGCTTAATATGTCTTTCTTTTCTGTGCTTCACTCTGACGTTTTCTCGCCCGTCCTCCCTCCCACCCCCACTCTTATCAACCTTTTAAAGTGCTCAGTTTCTTAACCACAGGAACAAGGGAATCTATCCGGCTCAGTCGAAACGATGAATCCAGCAAAGGCTATCACTTATGCAAAGAGCCTTTCACGAGCGATGAACCTCTTGAAGTGCTTAAGTAGGACAATAGGGATAAAGACTTTCACTGCCGACCTTGTATACGTATACAGGGACACGCCGTTGGTGCCAACAACAACTGGTTGCAAGTCAAGCTATCGGCCTGGCTCAGTCCCTCACGCTCTCGCCTGCGAGTCAGAAGGTTGAAGGGCTCACGTCCCAAGTTTGGGTCTTTGTGAGTTCACTCCAAGGCAGAACGCGGCAAAGGCTGGCCAGGCAGTGCTATCAGTGTGTCAGACACCCGGTTGTCCAAGGTGTTCATGGCAGTGGAAACACACAAATTGGCTTCCCCGTTTGCCTACAAAATACATGGCCCGCGCTTGACAGCAATTACCAGGGTCTTGAGATGGTTTGAGGTTACAGATGCTGCATCAAGTGCGAGGATTATTGTAAAGATCGTATATTCTTCCCACTTTGACTCTTAACTCAACAACCCCACCCCTCCCCTCCACTTCTGTCGAGACTATGGAGTTCACAGTTGGTGTCGCTCTCGCCTCTGAGCCAGAAGGTTGCGAGTGGGTTCAAACTCCCGCGTCAGTTAATGCTCCAGTGCAGTGCTGAGGGAGTGCTGCATTATTTTGAGGTGCCGTCTTTCGGATGAGATGCTGACCTGAGGTCCTGTCTGTGGCCCATTCAGTTGGACAACAAAGAACCCATTGGTGCAACTCAAAGACTCTGTTCTGAGGTGACCGCAATGACGAGACTTTATAAAGGTTTGAAGGGCAGTTTGTCCCCCCGCCTTCCAGTCACATCTCAGCATGGACGACACGGCTGTCGATTAAGCCGTTTGTTGCCCAATAATGGAAGGAGATGCCGATTGCCTTCAACTGGTAAATAGATCCCTTTAAATCCACCCCCGGTTGACCATCACCAGCTCAGAACAGGACTGGTTTATCTTGTGCTTGGGAAAGGGGAAGGAGCGTGATACACCCAGAGTGCTTCCCATACTCCCCTCGCGGCCTGGTGATCGATTTCCCCGGGTGCGGATCGGCCATGGCCTCATGGAATAGTGGAACAGGCTCGAGGGGCTGAATGGCCTCCTCCTGTTCCTCTGTTGTATCACCAACCACCACTAGAAGGCAGAGGAGAGCAACGCGAGTGGGTGGTCAAACGTAGCCAATCGGGTGCTCAAGTAGAGCAGCCTCGGCTCGGTGTCACCCTCCAGTGGCCGAACAGTGGAACGGCAGCAACACAGTCAACAGCAAAACCCCTTCGCCATGACCAGAATTGGGGCAATCACCCCAATGATTAAATGTCCTTGTATTTTCTCTGCAAAGAACTTTTTTGCCCATTTCTCCTCTCCTCCCTCCGCCCCCCGTCCACCCTCCGTCCACCCCCAGCCACCAAAACCTGTGACCTTACTTACCTCGCATATTTTGTACTTTAACGCACATGAACCGACAACTCATCCGAGGCAAACCGAGACTCGGTGACTAGTTATCAGGAGTGGCGAGTTTAGGCGCAATAAACCCAGCCGGGATATTGACAGCGCGATGACATGACTCCCGTGGAAGTAACAAGTGAAGCCAGGCTCGGATTGTCAGGAATTTACTGTACATGTTTTTTTTTGGAAGGCACGTTTGATCAGTAAATTGCGGCTTTAAGACAACAACAACAACAACAACAAAATTACATTTGCATAGCCCCTTTCACGTCAGGAGGACGTCCCATGGGGCTGGACTGACAGAGTTATGGAGCTGAGCAGGGGGTCGGGATCCGGGAGAGTGGAGGGCAGGGGTGGAATCAGGGTGATCGGAAGCACGGTCGAAGAGGAGGGTCTTGAAGGTGGCAGGGACTGCGGGATGGGGTTCCGGAGGGTGGGGGCTGAGTGACAGAAGGCCCGCCCGCCAATAGTGGGACGAGCGAGGCGGGGGATGTGAAGCAGGCCGGAGCCCGCTGAGCAGAGGGTGCGAGCGGGATGGTAGGGGTTAGGAGGTCGCAGAGATAGGGGGGAGCAGGGCAATGTAAGGTTTTGAAGGTGAGGATCAGGATCTTGGACTATATCCGCTGTGTGATGGGCAGCCAGTGGAGTTGGGCAACAACAATAAATTACATTTCACATCAGGAGGACGTCCCAAGGCGCTGGACAGTCAAGGATTTGGACCCGAGCTGGGCGTTGGGATCAGGAGGGGGTAGGAGGGTGACCGAAGGTGCGGTCGAAGAGGAAGGTCGTGAGATGAGCCTTGAAGGAGGCAAGAGAGGCGGCGAGGCAGAGAGACTGTGGGATGGATTCCAAAGGCTAGGGGCAGAGAGCCCGAAGGCCTGACTGTGGATGGTGGAGTGGTCTTGGCGGGGGACGTGGAGCAGGCTGGAGCCCGATGAGTTCAGGGAGCCAACGGGTCGGTATGGAGTTTACATATATGTCTGTTTGTCAATCGTGGTGAGGTGGATGTCCTCAGGGGGCGGTGGCTTCGCTGTTTCCTTCTCCTCTTTGTCTTCGTCCATAAACTGCGAGGAGTCCACGTAGGTGTAGAAATAGGCCATGATGGAGAAAATGACACAGACAGCCAACAGGAGGGCAGCGAAGAGGAGGAACTCAGCCCACTGCAAGGAGGAACCGACAGAGAAATCACCCGGGAGGTGTGGAAAATTCCCGGAGATACCGATCGAACCGCCCGATGGGAGGGTCTGAAATCCCGTCGTTCCTAAAACATTCCGCTCCTTGTTTAGGGGCTAAGGATCTATCCTCTGGAACTCCAATCCCGGAATCCCCCCGTCTCCCCCTCTCTTCCAACTCCTTGCTCCTTCCCCTCTTTTAGATCACAACCGAAGACCAGTGCTTATGGTCACCTTCTCCCTCCCTCCCGGCTCGACCTCCCTCAGACTCCGCCACTGTCTCAAGCGCTCCTGCCTGAGGAGGGTCACTTACCTGCGACATGTAAGCAGCTTTGGCCACGATAATCACTATCACGTTCCCGAAGGCCACAGTCAGGAGCCAGCCGGACTGCAGGACAGCTTTCATCGTCGCTGGAGCCTGAGAAACAACAACAACACGATTGCATTTATAGAGCGCCTTTCACGTCGGGAGGACGTCCCAAGGCGCTGGACAGTTGGGTCGGCAGGGGGGAAATGGTCAGGGTGAGGGGAGGGAAGGGAGGGAGCGAGGAGGGGGAAGAGAGTCGAGAGGGGAGCTGAAGGCTGAAGGTCAAAGAGAAAGGTCTTGAGACCGGCCTTGAAGGAGGAAAGGGAGGAAGTGGCGAAGGCACTGGGGATGGAGTTCCAGAGCCTCGGGGCTGAGAGGCTGAAGGCCACCGATGGTAGGGCGGTTGGGGCGGGGGACGTGGAGCAGACCGGAGCCAGAGGAACGGAGGGTACGGGCAGGTAGGTAGGGAGATTGTAGGTCGGAGAGGAAGGAGGGAGCGAGGCCATGAATGGCCTTGTAGGTGAGGGTGAGGATCTTGAATTCGAGAGCAAAGTGTGGTCACGCTTTCCAACGTGTGTGTCCCCGGGATAATCGTCAGCTCAAACTTCAAACGTTTAAGAGAAAAAACAAAGGCTCAACGGCTCAAGTCAGGAGATTGCAAATTCCCAGCCACTCGCCCGAACGTTGAGCTCACCGTCTAAGCTGAAGCTCCAGCTCGGTGCTGGGGGGTGGGGGGGGGGAAACACTGCGTATATCAAAGCGTTACCTGCGAATATGAGAAGGAAACACCAGTAATGGAGAACATGACTTCGCCAGCAGACATGAGGATGTACTGAGGAGCCTGCCACGCGATGTGAACCACGTTTGCCTTGATATCTTCAGTCTTCCGAATCACCATTGTGCTTCCCTCGGGCTGCGGGTCGGAAATAGATTGGTAAGGCATCCGATCACGTCGTTGAGACGTCTCAAAGCGCTTCACGGTGCATCTCATATCGTAAAGTGTGGTGACTGTATATTTTGTGGGCGAAGCGCGGCAGCCAATTGCACACGGCAGCGTCCCCACAAACAGCCGTGGACTGAGTGACCACATTTTTGTTTTTTTGGAGGGACTATTGTGCCTGGAAAGTGATCCGCCAATCGACTCACAACCGGGTTCCTACTTACTGCTGGTTAACAGGCGTGTGTGTGGAGTAAGGAAACTTGCCTAAGGAATCGAACCCGGGTCCTCTCGCTTGCGAGGCGAGGGGGGTCTAACCTGAGCTACAGGACTCCGTGAGAGACGGTTGGGCCACTGATGTGCTCTGTGGGCAAAGTGCAATCGTAGCGTCCAATGCCACATGTGGTGCGAGGTGGCGGATTGTCAGACTCCCTGCACGGTAAGCCGGGAATCCCGAGCCGGGAAAGCCATTCCGGAGGTCAAGCGATGACCGCGTTACACTGCTCTGTTTGGCGGGACGTGAAAAGCGCTATGCAAGATTATTATTATTATTATTGAAGGAAACACTCACCCCAACAGCAATAAAGGTATAAGTCGCCCCAAAGTCTATCAATCCGGCTTCCAACGTGTAGTCAGTTCCACCGATCCTACTTCGTCCTGTGTATCTGTCAGACGTAGAACCAATAGAGATACAGAACCATACAAAAAGATAATAATAATTTGGTCACTCAACCCACCACTGTTTGTGGGACGCTGCTGTGCGCATTTCAATTGACTTTCCGGTATATTCTTTGAAGCGCTTTGAGGCATCTCAAAGATGTTGTAAAGGCGCTACATCAAAGGCAAGGATAATTATTATTATTATTCGACCCCTCATGTCCGTGTAGTTGAACCAACTGGAGCTGAATGCTCTAATCCCACTTCCCGCTCATTCCCCTCTACCTATTCCCGCGCAGTCTCGGCTGATGCTCCAGCACAGTGCTCCGTAGAGTGAGATGTTTTAAACTGAGCTCCCCATCTGTGCCCTGTTATAGAATCATAGGATATTACAGCACAGAAGGAGGCCATTTGGCCCATCGTGCCTGTGCCAACTCTTTGGAAGAGCCGCCCAATCAATCCCACTCCCCCGCTCTTTCCCCATATCCTTGCAATTTTTTTCCTTTCCAAGTCCTTATCCAATTCCCTTTTGAAAGCTATTCATCAAATCCGCTTCCACCAGCCTTTAAGGCCATGCGTTCCAGACCGCAACGACTCTCTGTGTAAAAAAGAAACAAACAAAAATTTCTCCTCGTCTCCCTTCTGGTTGTCTTGCCAATTATCTTGAGTCCATGTCCTCTGGCTACCCCGACTGACTGGCCAGTGGAACCAGTTGTTTCTCCCTATCTACTCTTATCAGAGCCCATTATTTGTTCAGTCGGAACGGGAGTGAGTGTCTGCTTACATTCCCCTCTCTAGAAGCTGGTACTCGGAGCTGGTAATGTTGGCGGGTACCATTCCGAAGTCCACATGCCCAAGTGTGACATTCATGTCTTGTGTGTGGGCGTTTAGGATCCTGTGAGGAACATAAGAGCACAAGAATTTGCTGGTGAGGGAAGACCAAGGTCCATCCAATTCGCCTTCCACCAGCCCGGCAGTCGCTTGACCTGACGTGTCCTGAACTATATACTGTCTCCCCCGAGATATTACTTCCTAACGGAAAAAAAAACACAGAAAGTAGTGTTTCCGCAGATGTGTGTTTGGGTTTGACGCCCCTTTCGATCGCAGTCCTCTGGTTCTGCCGTTCAGTGCAGGGAAATAACCCCCCACCTTGGGTGAGTGAACGCCCAAGTAACAAAACAGTCAGCTCCGGTGCTTAACGCTAAACAGACTCGCTTCCCGCCCTACCTTATCCTGGCCTGGCCCTTCTCGGGTTTTAAAATGATGTCTTCCAGCTGTGGGAGAAGGTTCTACAATCAGTATCCGTAAGAAAAAAAAATCCTTCCGTTAATGTCTTTCTTCTCACGAGATTTTCTGTAAGGCTGTGCGTTTCGGACTAATAATAATAATAATAACGATCATGATAATAATAATCCTTGCATTTGCTATAGTGCCTCATCTCATTGTCGAGATGTCTCAAAGTGCTTCACAGGATATATAGTAAAGTGGAGTGACGGTATTTTGTGATCGAAACGTATGTCCTGTCCGCCTGTTCAGGTGGATGTTACGGAACTCACTGGAATAGAGAGAGAGAGATATGGGCCAAAGAGTGGCAGATGGAATTTAATGCAAATAAATATAAGCTGATGCTTATGCGTGTGCACTTGGTGAGAGTGTGTGGGGGGGAGATGGCATTAGATTTGTTGGGTTCAAGTGGGGTGGGGGAGCCACCAACGCGGACTTTGAGGGTATGAACGGCTTGTTTTAGCGCTTTCCAGAACATTTTCTGGTTGACGTACCAGTTTGCAGTGCAGGTTGCTGCCTTCCTGGGACAGCACTAAGCTGTAGGACTCCCTGGATTTAATGGAGTGACTGCACGACTTGTTGTGGGTTCCGTACCGGATCTCAAAGGTCAGCACCTCGCTTTCCGAGGCTAGGTTCAGCTTCACATACTTCTCGGGATCCTGTGGGAGAGTGACAGAGAGAATGTGAGAGACAGTGTGAGAGGGACAGAGAGAGTGTGAGAGACAGCGTGAGAGAGAGACACAGAGCGTGCGAGAGGCGGAGGGTGCGAGAGACCGAGAGAGAACGTGAGAGTCACACGGAGAGACCGAGTGAGAATGAGACAGAGAATGCGATGGAGACAGACACGGAATCTGAGAGAGAACCCGAGGGTGTCAGTCAGAGAGAGCGAGAGCATATGCGAGAGAGAAAATGCGAGAGGCAGAAAGAGAGAGAGAAGAACGGAGGAGACACACTTGGATCAGATTGAGATGAAGCACAGCTGTAAGGAACGGTTTGTGGCGTTTCAAACCTCAGCCACCAGATGACAGCACATCTCATTAATATATCCTCTTCGCTGAACCCGCATTACCGTTATCCTTCGCATGTCCCTCTGTCCTGGCCCTTTTGCTGTAATCCCTGTGTTGTCACCACTGTAATCCTCACGGCCATCCTACTGTCTTCAAGCCCTAGCGCCTCCCTACCTCTCCGACCTGCTTACTCCCTGAAACTCTGGAACACTCTCCCTCAATCCCTCCGCCTCGACCCCCCTTCCTTCCCTATTTTCAGGTCGTGTCTGAAGACCTTCCTCTTCGACGTGCCTACGGTCACCTCCCCCACCCCCACCCCCACTCCCTCCCCCCCGGCTCGGTGCTGTGCTCCGCCACTGTCAAGCGCTCTGGGAAGCTGCCCTGCGTGAGGGGCGCTGTGTAAATGCAAGCTGTTGTTGTGTAACGATCGCGCTAATCAATCACTGTACTGTGCCCCAGTCGTGTAGGAGCACGGGAAACGTTAGAGAGAAAAAAAAACAAGGTCCGTCCAATTCGCCTTCCGAGGGAAGAGGGGCCGGATGTGGCCCGTGGGCCGCCAGTTGGCCATTATCCAGTCCCTTTAGAATCTTAAAGACACATCGCCCCTCCAACCTTCTCTTCTCCAACGTGAACATGTGCAGTTTATCCAATCGCTCCTCGTGCTCCAGATACCTGGTAAGATTCCATGGTGAGAGGAAAGTCGTGGCCGTATCCGGGGAGATTGACTGTCACTCGGTCTGGCCTGAGGTTCAGGATCTGAATGTAAGACTCTCTCGCTCCCGGCTCAGCTATCACTGATTTCTGAAAGAGGAACGGAGGGGTAGGGAGGGAGAGGGGAAGATAAACCTTAAAGTTCCTCGCCTTTGATACAGCGCCTCATCACGTTGTTGAGAACGTCTCAAAGCGCTTCGCAGGATACACTGTAAAGTGCAGTGACTGTGTACTTTTGTGGGCGAAACGGGGCAGTCGTTGGGAATCCTGTAGTGTAGTGGTTAGAGGGCTCGCCTCGCGAGCGAGAGGACCTGAGTTCGATTCCCGGGCGGGGAGAAACCCTGGGCAAGTTTCCTTACTCAACACACGCGCCTCTGTTTAATCAGCAGTAAGTAGTAACCTGGTTGTTAGTCGATTGGGGGAAATAATCCTTTTTTAATAAAAATATTTATCACTCAATCTACAACGGTTTGTGGGGACGCTGCTGGGCACAATTGGCTGCCGTGTTTCACCCACAAAATATACAGTCAATTCACTTTACAGTGTATCCTGTGAAGCGCTTTGAGACGCCTCGAAGATGTGATGAGGCCCTGTATCAAATGCAGGGATTATTGTAGGATTAGTAACCATCAAGGCTTTGACTTACCTGGGTCTCGATTTCCACCAGGGTGGCTGCCACGAAGGCCAGAGACGCCAGGACCATCCCCACCGCCATACGCCTGAGCGGCCTGTGGGCAGAGAGGGTAGAAGGGGGGCAGAGGGAGTGCAGAGTGGGTGCACAGGGTGGGGGGGGGGGGGGGGGGGGGGGCGGAGAGGGGGAGGGAGTGCTTGACTTGTGTGGAGAGGTCCCAAACCTGGTGCTTCTCAAAGTCTCATGGAACTGGGCGTTGGCGGGTGAGGGGGAGAAGGAGATGGGACCACATCTCCCCAGACCCATTGATGTAACAGACAAGGCTGGTCAGTGGACCTGCCGATGTGGGTGGTCGCTTAAAAGGCAGTTCAATATCCCCGACCGGTTCGAGACATTTCCTTCTCCTTCTCTCCCTCCCTCTTTCCCCTTTCCCTCCCCCCCCGCCGCCGATGCTACATCAAATGCAAGGATGATGATGATGATGATGATTATTATCATTAATAACTCAGGTGGAGGAAAAGTCACTGAGAAAACAGGAGAGGCAAACAAGAGGAAAGGATTTTATTTAATACTCACGTCAAATTGAGTTTACATTTTGTGGTCAGAGGGTAGATGCCCAGATCGAAGATTGGAATGAATACAAGGATCAGGATGGAGTTTATGGTCTGTGTGACAATAAACAGCGAAGCAATACATATAAACAAAGCAAAACCTGGGCTCTAATCTGCGACGTGGGTTAACCATGTGCTAATGATATGATCAAGGTCGTCCTGCATCATGTGATAAACGACATAAATCATTGACCCGTCAGTCTGGCTCAGCTGCTAGCGCTCTCTCTCTCTCGACTCTTGAGTCAGAAAGTTTGGGTTCAAGCCCCACGTTGGGTCATAGTCTAAACTGGTCCAATAAAACCGGTCACTCACTTTAATGTAGGCTGCCGTATTTGCCTAGAAAATACCCGGTCACTACAGTTGCTGGTAAATCCTGTGAATCTCTTTGAGGTCCTTTTTTGCAATGTGACAAGCGTCTTATCAAATGCAATGAATTTTATACGTACAACTGACAAACAAACAAAGGTTTATATCTACCTGCATCTGATCTGGCTGCAGAACAAATCCTCCGCCCTGTGACGTGAAACATTCGGGATGTTAGAGATGATTCTCAGAGAGAGAGAGAGAGCGACAGAGCGAGAGAGAGGGGGCGACAGATGGAATGAGGGACAGAGCAAAACACCAGCATGAGAGACAGAGAGAGGAGAGAGAGAACGAAAATATAAATAGGAGCCCCTTTAATGAATTGGGTTGCCTCACTGAGTTACTGTTCCATTGGTGAGTTAGGAAAAATGTTGTCTCTCTCTCTCTCTCTCCGTGTCTCTGTATCTATCTGACTATCTCTCTCTCTCTTTCTCTCTGTGTTGTACTTACAAAGTCTGCGTTCATTCTGGTGGCCTGCAGTGTCCAGCGAGAGCCCTGAAGACAGAAGAAAACATTTGGATGGCTTTGGATCGGGCGAGGATGAGAACGACAGCAACTTGCAGTTTACACAGAGCCTCAGCACGTCGGGAGACTGTCTGGGAGCTCTGGCACAACGTAAGAGGTAGGTCTTAAGGTGAGACTTAAACACAATTGACCTGCCAGTCAATCTACACCCAGGAACACAGCTTTAATTACACAGCTCCCGCCGCTGGTTCACTTTACAGTGTATCCTGTGAAGCGCTTTGAGACGTCTCGACGACGTGATAAGGCGCTGCATTAAATGTAAGGATTATTATTATCATAAGGTATACGAGGGCCCAAGCTGCGGACAGGAAGACGGTGTCAATGCTCTCACGCATTTCATGCTGAGTTATGTTGCTCACCAGGAAGTTCCTGGTACCTTCCATCCACCTGGTGAAGGCTCCAACCCACCAGTTCAGCTCCAAGGAGACCCCCTACTCCCCCCCCCCTCCCCCCTTAACCCACCCACACACCCTAAGAGATGTTGAACAGTTGTCGGATGTCCACGTAACCAGCGCTGTCTCCATCTGCCATCTGCACGGTTCTCATTACCAACATGAAAATTAACTTGAAGGTCAATTTCAAACCTACCTGTTGGTCAAAGAGCGCCCAGAACATTGGAAGAGGCAGGTAGAGGAAAAGCACTCTGCAAACCATCTTAATGTCTCTGATTAGCTGTTTCTGGGGGAGAAGAGAAGGGTTGGGGGGGGAAACGTTAAGCAGCGAATACCCGACATCTCTTTCGAGTTAAAAAAAAACTGCATTGCTATGGGGTGGGAGTGGGAGTAGTTGGCAGCTCTTTTCGAAGAGGCAGCACAGGCACGATGGGCCGAATGGCCTCCTTCTGTGCTGTAGAATTCTACAATTCTATGATAACAAGATCCGCAAACAGACAGGGTGGAATTTTGGGGTAACTCGTAACTTTAGTTTCCCCGCCCGGCCCGCAGTGGCCAATTCTTCGGTAATTATCGACGACGTTTCCAGTAACTATCAATTCATTGTAAAAGTACTCGACTCACTACGAATCGTTTCATTCAGAAATTCATTCCGGCAACTCAACCTCAGGCAAGTTTCCTCACTCCGCCCGTCTCTGTTTACCCGGCAGTCAGTGGGAACCCGATTGTTAGTGGATTGGTGGATCTCTTTACTGGGGGGTAATAAGCCCTCAAAAAAAATAATAATAATAATTTGGTCACTCAGTCCACTACTGTTTGTGGGGGACGCTGCTGTGTGCAAATGGCTGTGCTACGCTCCAGACTCCCAGGTACTACAAACAGCAAAACCCACTCGGAATCTCTTCAGGAATCCGTTAAGAAGTGTCACGAAATCGACCGCAGTCGCTATGTTTTGGGGGTTCAGACCCCACCTCCCTAAAAAGTTTTCTTTCCCCGCGTTTTACCGGGTATTTTTCCTCTGCCCAGTCCAGCCAATGATCTCTCTTCGCAATATCTCTCGATCGATTCTTCCATCGGTTCGTCATTGCAAACTGGAAAGAGACAAATTTTCTGAATGAAACAAAAATGTGCTGAAGTGTAGTCGTGTTCACAGCACAGATTGGAGTCCTGTAACTCAGTGGTTAGAGCGTTCGCCTCACAAGCGGGAGGACCCGGGTTCGATTCCCGGGCGGGGCAAAACCTTGGGCAGGTTTCCTTACTCCACACTCCTCCGTTTACCAGCGGTAAGTAGGAACCTGGTTGTTAGTTGATCGGTGGATCGCTTTCCGGGGGGGTAATAACCCCTCGAAAAAGTAAATAAAATAATAATAATTTGGTCACTCAATCCACGGCTGTTTGTGTGCCGTTGGCTGCCGCGTTCCGCCCACAAAATACACAGTCACTTCACTTTCCAGTATCTGGTGAAGCGCTTTGAGACGTCTCAACGACGTGATAAGGCGCTGTATCAAATCTAAGGATTATTATTAATTATTAACTTATTGTTAGCGAAACAGGCACTCACCTCAATACACTGACAGACTTCAAACAATATATTGCCCTGTGGTGGGTACTTTTTGTACATCGGACTTCCGGCAATGAACACGACTGAAGGAAAACAGACCGGGGGGAAAAAAGCAACAAATTCAACAAATTATGTTTCTGTAGAAATCCCTTTATTCGCTCTCCGTTCCCATTTCACTCCAGCCTACACCCCACCAACCCATCCCATCCCGTCCCGTCCGCTCTCACTCACTCTCTTCCAGCTTGGAGGGTTAGAAGGGATTTACCTCCACTGCTTGGACCACCCTTACCCATTAGGGCTTTGGTTTGCAGGGTTACCAGGAGTTGAGGGGGGAGGATTCCCTGACCCCCAGTGACTGGTCGGTCCTTCCAGGTCCTGCCGACGGGCCGGGGCTGGTACTGCCATCAGCAGCGAGTGCCCTGGAATACTGTGGCCCCTCCTGGCTCAGGAACCGGACTGGAGAGGCCGACACAGAGGGTGGGTTCGATTCCGACATTATTGCCAGCTCTGCTCCAAGGATGCCCCCCCCCCACCCCCCTCTTCCCTTCCCCATGGTCCCCATCTCCCTCCCATAGAGCTGCGACAGAGGCACGAAGGGTTCCTTTACTGTGCGGCCAGCAAATCTCTCGGCGTCTCAGCCTCATGGAGCAAGCCTACCCCCACCGCCCCCCCCCCCCCGCCCCAACCTCTCCGCCCTCCACCCGCCCTGATCCCAACCCTCAGCTCGTGTCCGAAATCCCTGACCGTCCAGCGAAAGGCGCCGCGGAAATGTCTCGCACCGCTGTGCGTTTCTGACGGTGATGAACACAGTGATCGGGAGAGGAGGAACGCTGACTTACCCAAAGCCACCACCATCAGGATGGCCGGGATTCCAAACGCGAGCGCGTAGCAGTCTCCACCGAAACACTGCACATCAGCTGCGACCCAGAGAGAGAGAACGGCGCACGTTAAAATCAAACCCTCCGCGCTCTCTCTCTCTCCGCTCTCTCTGTCTCCCCCCCCCCCCCCACCCCTCCACCCCGCCTGTCCGCCCGCCTCCGCTCCCCCACCTCCCCACCTGCTCCTCAGGCTTGAGCTAAAGGTCACAGCGTTCACCGCAAAGCGTAGTGACTGTGTGTTTTTGCAAACGGACCCGGCAGCCAGTTGAGCGCTCCTCAACCCTATCCCCTCGAACAGCCGTGAAGTGAACGAGCCATGTGACTCCTGAGGGAACGATATTGTTTTATCTAGCGGTGGGGGGTGGTGGGTGGGGCGGAGGGTGGAGGGAGAGGGGGAGAAGGAGTGGGGGAGAGGGGTAGGGGGGAAGAGGGGAGGCAAGCGGACTGACCTCTCAGTATTGGGGTGACAAAGGTGGAAATCAGACTCCCCGCGTTGATGGACAGGTAGAATATCGAGAAAAACTTGCTCCGTTCACGGACCTGACAAGCAAATCGCACGTAATGTGTCAGCGCGGTGTACAGTGGCCCCCAGACCCCCGCGCCCCCCACCCCGAGTAATAACACGGGCACAGTTATTAAACAGGCAAAAGGTCTGTTAGTGTATTTCACGTCAGCAGCGCACAGCGCAGTCCCGGGAGGACGTGATACACATTTTGTACATTATCTTTACTAATAAAGACAAAATGTCTGTGTGTGTGTGTGTGTGTGTCTGTCTGTCTGTCTGTCTGTCTGTCTGTCTGCCAAGAATGCAATAACTGATTGACATAGAGACATAATTTATACCTCATCGGAAAGGGGAGTGTCATGGGCATATTGTTTTTTTTAGGGGGGAATCTCCTATCCTCGATGAGCTATGACCTAAACAAGCTCATCACACAGGTATGGCAGTTTTGATTAAGGTGCGCACACAGTGTTTATGGCGTGCTAAATGGTTTGTGGGTGGAATCACTGAAATCTACATCCCACATTGCATCCTTTGGTTGCAAGCGAAGCTGCAACGGGTACAGGTACGTGTACGTTATCTTTATGGACTTGTCTCCCTGGGGCTTGACTCACGTTCTCCTCCTCAAACTGGTCGCCCCCAAAGGCCGCCACGCAGGGCTTGATGCCTCCGGTCCCCAAAGCGATGAGAAACAGCCCGATCATCGACAGGATCCTGGAAACCAAGGTCAGTGCGTTATGTTTCCTTCGCGACTCCGAGTCCGGAATACGGATATTATTGTTGTTATTACTAAGCGGCTCGGGCCGTCCTCCCGACGTGAAAGGTACTTTGTGTAATAATAACATGGTGTTGTGTTGTATCGCTCACTCACATGTGTAGTTGTTGATCGCCCACAGTGGGGATGGCACCCACTGACTTCACCACGTGGCCGACAACATAAACTAAGGAGAGGTAGATGATTGTTCTGGAGGAGAAAAAAGAACGGACCGGACTTGAGCAGCAGTAACGCTGGCCGTGCGACACACTGGGGTAACAACCGGGGGGGGGGGGGGCGGGGAGAGGAGAGGGGGGGTGATGTGGTCTTGTTCTTGCTCAGCCAGGTGTCTGACGCACCCGGCAAACCCATCGCCTTGAAGAGTATCCGAACCAGACCGAGGGCTCCGCGCGCAATCAGAATAGTCAGGATAACCTTCGACGTGGAGTCTTATCGCCTCGAAGCGCTTCTCAGAATACATCGTGAAGTGCAAAGTGTCCGTGTAATTTTGTGCCGGACACAGCAGCCAATTGCGCCACAGCAGTGTCCCGCAAACAGTGGCGGATTGAGCAACTGTAGAAATTCCCTGGGTCTGGAATGGAATTGGCTCTCTCCGTCTCTCCTCGGACGGAGGAGAGACGGAGTTGCATTGTATGGCAAGCTTTTTGCTGCTTATACACTACTCTACCAGTTAGGGCTTTGGTTTGCAGGGTTAGCAGGAGCTGAGGGGAGGATTTCTTTCTGGCTCATGTGCACTCGTTTGGTGCCAGGTTGAGGGATGGGTGAAGCTTGGAACGTCTGAGTCACAGTCAGATCCTGGGCGAACCCTCAGTCAAGTTTCCTTTCCCTCTGGTTACCTCGCAGTACGTAGGATTGGTGGCTCGCTTTCCGTGGATAAATAATCCCTCTAGAAAGATAACATTAATTTGGTCGCTTCGAGCCACGGCTGTTTGTGGGGACGCAATCTCGCGCCCGCGATTGGCCGCCGCGTTTCGCCCACAAAATACACAGTTGCTCCACTTTACAGTATATTGCGACGTCCTCCGCAAACAGCCAGGGAGTGGACGACCGATCTGGAGGATGGTCAGCCCGGCAGGGGTGGGGAGGAGACGAAAAGGTTAATGACCGAGGGGGTAAAGACCGAACCCTCGCTCTCACCGATACTTCCCGAGCCAAGAGTCAGCGATGAGGGCTCCGAACACCGGGGTGAAGTATGCCAGGCCGGTAAAGGCGTGGTAGATGGCGGTGGAGAGATTGTCATCCCAGTGGAGGAAACTGGTGAAATAAAGCGTAAGGATGGCTGTAACAGAAAGCAGGGCGGAGGTCAGGAAAAGTACAACAACAACTTGTATTTACGTTCAGTAAAATCTGCGCAAGTCTCATATCTTGATAATCACCTAAGTCGTACATTCACCCGAGTTCAATTTAGTTTCCTATCAAAACCACTTGGATTTATTCGAACTACTCGAAATTAATCAACTCGTAACTTCCCTCCCTCCGTTAACGTCCCTCCCGCACTTATTGGTTGCTTTGAAGCGCGGGAGATCTAATCTTGATCAAATTAAATGTCACGGCCCCCCGACTGATGCGACTTGGGTGAGTTTTCCCGTAGCGCTCGTCACGGGACGGAGGGACTGAGGCGGGTGGGGGGTGGGGTGGGTGGGTGGGTGACAGAGGGTCAACACAGCACAGGAGAAGGCTAAGCGTGCATCTGATGACGTCTCGGCCCTTTAAGAAACTAGCGCCCGAACATCGCGCAGCCCTGTGGAAGGCAAACGCGGGAGCGCTCCCTCCGAGTACCTTTCATGCCATAGAAGGAAAAGCGTTCGCAAAACTCGTTCACTATCACGAACCCGATGCTCAGGGGATATTTGGTTCCACACAGCATCTGAAAGAGACACACAAAAGGAATAATCATCGGCGCGTTTGATACGGAGCCTGAGCAGGTCAGCAAGACACCTCAGGACGCCTCGCAGGAATGTACGGTAAAGTGTGGCAATAATAATAATAATAATAATAATAATAATAATAATTTGGGCCACTCTGTGCTTCGAGACGTCTCGAGACGACGTGATCAGGCGTTCCATCAAGTGCGAGGGTTGTGAGGGGGTTTTATCAAACGCAGGCAACGGTCGAAGAGGAAGGTCTTCAGGTGCGATCTGAAGACGGGGGTAGGGAGGAGGCGAGCGGGATGGGATTGAGGACCAGAGCGCCATAGCTTTGGGGGGGACGGGGGGGACGGTTAACATTATACGGGTTATCGCTGCTAGTCAGCGCGGGCACAAGACTGCAGGAGACAGGAATCTCTGCAGCACATTTCGATCCCATCTGGCTAATCGCCAGGGAGCGGTGGCTTGTCGGTGACCCTGCACACTCTCTGACAGGTCAATAAATTATGGGGCAACTTTCTCTTGCGTTTAATGTGCAACTCTCCCCACTCCCCCCACCCCCACCCCCTCCCCTCCTCAACCCTACACCCAAAATAAATACAAATTATATGCACTGACGGGTACTCTCTTCCCATTGCTCTGCAATGCATCTTTCTCAGTTTCATCATCTGCAAAAGAAAACAAATATGATTTTTTTTCCCCCACACACCCCGCACACTCTTCCCCCACACCCACCCACCACCCCCCCCGCCCCGCGCCCCCCCCCCCACCCAAAAAAAAACCCCACAACACAATAGATAAAACTTTACAGAAACGACAGCGAAAAAGCCACGAGAAATTTCCTGCAAACTTTTGGGTTTCCAAATAAATCAGGAGATAGTTCGTATCAGAAGTGTGCACTGCGTAATCGTTTCACTGATAAAAACTATCGTCGGAAGGACGGTGGAAGGAAAGATCAACAAGAACGACACATGACATTTACACGGCGCCTTTCCCCTCGGGAGGACGTCCCGAGGCGCTGGACAGTCAGGGATTTGGACCCGAGGGATCAGGAGGGGTTGGAGGGCGGCGGAGAGTAGGGGGTAGGAGGGTGTAATTATTATTAAGCATTGATAATAATAATAATAATAATAATAATAATTCAGAAGGTTCGTCTTACCGGTCTTTATTTTCTGCTGAGCCATTTCTGCGGAGTGGAGCAGAGAGGTCGGGAGATAAAACTTAGCAGTTCGGTCAAACTTTTCTGTACGTTAAAGACTGAAACGTTTCTGCCCCCGGTTCCTTTGCCCTGATTATTTCTCTCTCTCTCTCTCGCTCTCTCGCTCTCTAAAGATCTGCGCTGTGTTGAACTTCCAGATTGATATCAATCTGAACGCTAGTTAATGTTTTACTTTTCCAATTAAACTGCAATTTTTTCTCTCCCTCTCTCTCCCTCTCTCTCTCTCTCTCTCTGCAGGACTGGCGGATTGTGTGACTGGATGGATAATCGGTGAGTGAGTGTGTGTGTGCGTTTGTGTGCATGTGTGGGAGGAATTCTGTGCAAGTGTGTGTGTGTGTGTGTGTGTGTGCGCGTGTGTTGGATGGGAGGGAAAGAGAGGGAGGAAGGGAGAGAGAGAGAGAGAGAGAGGGGGAGGAAAGAACAAGTGCTGTTTTGTTCCTATCGACGTGATTTCTCGCTTGTTTATATTCGTTAGAAGGGCTTTTAGATTTCACAGCGCAGTTTGAGTTTACCGCGTCCGATCTCAATCACGTACACACATTTTTTTTTTGGGGGGGGGGTCTTGAGACACGGGGGAACTCAGTGTAGCTCAGTGGTTAGAGCACTCGCTTCGCAAGCGAGAGACCTGGGTCAATCCCAGGCAGAGGGCGAAATCTCGGGCAAGTTTCCTTACGCCACACAGAGCCTAATAATAATCCCTCCAAAACCAAAAAAAACAATAATAAATTGGTCATTTTCAATCTACGACACTTTGTGGGACATTGCTGTGCGCAATCGGCTGCCGCGTTCGCCCACAAATATACAGTCAATTCACTTTACAGTGTGTTCTGTGAAGCGCTTTGGGACGTCCTCCCGACGTGAAAAGCGCTATATCAAATGCAAGGATTATTATTATTGTTATTATAACCCATCGCATGCTTAAGAGTATGCCAACCAAGCAGAGAACTCCACGCATCCTGATATATTTATATATTGTATAAATTATATATTTATGCGCTCTCTCTCTCTCTCTCCCCGGAGGGATGCATCCTGCTTACCTGGAATTCTGGAAAGTATTAAAGGTGAGAGCCAAGGCTTGGGGGGGGGTCCCAGAGCGTGCGTTTTGGGGTAGAGAACTGCTGGAATCTTAACCAGCTACAACCACATAGCTTCAGTGGAAGTTATACATAATAATAATAATAATATAATAACCTTGCATTTGATACAGGCCTTATCACGTCTTTGAGACGTCTCAAAGCGCTTCACAGAATTATACCGTTAAGTGAATCGACTGTATATTTTGTGGGCGAAACGCGGCAGCCAAATTTGCGCACAGCAGCGTCCCCACAAACAGTCCAAAAATAGTTTAGTCACTCAACCCACCGCTGTGGCTCTGTGCAGGACATTCTTGCATTGAGAATTACCAGCTCTGGGTTTGGCTTCATTGCCTGTCGTTGACAATTTAGTGCACTGGAACTCAGCTTAAGTTGACTGCCAACAAAAACAGCAATGCAGAAACCCAACGCCCAAATCACCTGTAAACATTGGCAGGAACCACCAGAGCATAGAGACCTCAGCGCAGAGAACTGGACAATGTGGGCCGAATTGGCATCCAGAGACTCGTTTGCTCGAAGGTCAACAGCAACAACAACAACACATCTTGCGTCTATATAGAGGCCTCACACGTTGTAGCATCCCTGAGATGACTTTCTTGTCGGGAGAGGAGAGGATGACGGACAGGGAGAGGGTTATTCCATCAATCGCTTTGAGACGTGATAAGGCGCTATATCATTTGCAAGGATTCTTCTTATTATATTGAATTCATCGCAGATTGATTGATTTCTCTCCATGTCCATGATGTCCGTGCTCATTGGGAATTGATTAGAGGTTTGTATGTTTCGCCCACAAAACATGCAGTCAATTCACTTTACAGTATATCCTGTGAAGTCCTTTGAGACGTCTCGAAGCCGTGATAAGGCGCCGCGTCAAACGCAAAGATTATTATTCTTCTTATTATTTTGATCATTATTAGGTTTGAGACATCTATCAGCTTTGAATTGAACGATTACCAAAGTCTAAGCTTTTTAAGTGCCGAACGCATTATAAGTGTCAGCCTGGCTCAGTCAGTCGCACTCTCGGGTCAGAAATTTGTGGGTTCAAGCTCTACGTTGGGGAGTCTGAGCTCACAGACTACGCTGAGGTTCCAGTGCGGTGATGGGGATGGGTGGAGGGGGGGGGGGGGAACTTGTCAGAGTTGCTGTCCTTTGGATGAGACGTTAAAACCGAGGTCCCATCTGTGCCCTATTCAGGTGGCCTTTCAATAATAATAATGATGATCCTTGCGTTTGATACGGCGCCTTATCACGTCTTCGAATAGACTGTAAAGTGAATAGACTGTAGATTTTGTGGGCGAAACGTGGCAGTCAATTGCGCACAGCAATACAGGTCCTGTGGCGCCAATCGAAAGAGAGAGCGAAATGTAGGTCAGGGTTGAAGAATGGAGGTGCGAGGCAGGAATAGTTAACAAGTTGCTCTTGTTGTAGGAGTTGTCATGATAAACACGTACTGTTTGTATGATTCCTGGCATCGCTTTGCTGTTCAGTGGGTCAGGTACGCTGACAGGCGAGCGAGGGGGGATGAGGGAGAGAGAGAGAGAGAGAGAGAAGAGAAGAGAAATTACATAAACTGAACAACTTGTACAAAGATCCCTTTGAAGGCAATGGTTCCTGAACAGAATCCAAGAACTAATGGCCGGAGGGAGCAGATAAAATAATAACAACAACAATGATAATCACGGCATTTGATAAGACGGTGTCACATTGGAGAGAGCTGTTGCAGTGCTTTCTGTGCTGTGCAGTGGCTGCGTGTTTTGTGGCAGCCAATTCGCGCACAGTGTCGTCCCGCAAACAGCCGTGAAGCAACCAGTTTTCTCTCTCTGTGGCGTTGTCGGTCAGGAAAGCAGGACACGAAAACTCCCTTCTCTATTTGAATAGTGCCGCGGTAGCTTTAGCGTTCAGCTGAGCAAGAACGATCGAACGCTTTGGGGGCTTATCTCTCTCTGGAGATGAGGACAATTGAGAGGAGACCCGATCGAGGGGTTTACGACTGTGAAGGGATAATACAATCATTGGTGAGTCCGAAACGAGAGGGTATAAATGATCAGTCAGTCAAAAGCAGATCTGACAGGGAGTTTAGGAGGAACTTCTTCACACAGAGGGTGGCGAGAATGTGGAACTCGCTGCTGGGAACTGTGGTTGAACCAAAAAGGATAATAGTCGTTGCATTTGATATGGCTCTTTATCACATCGTTGAGATGTCTCAAAGCTCTTCACAGAATAGATTGCACGGCACATTGACTGTGTATTTTGTGGGCGAAACCCACATATTTAAGAGGAAACTTGATGTACATAGGAGGAAGATAGGAATAGAGGGGTGTAGGAGAGGGGAATAGAGGGGGGTGGGAGAGGGGAATAGAGGGATGTAAGAGAGGGGAATAGAGGGAGGTGGGAGAGGGGAATAGAGGGGTGTGGGAGAGGGGAATAGAGGGGTGTGGGAGAGGGGAATAGAGGGGTGTGGGAGAGGGGAATAGAGGGGTGTGGGAGAGGGGAATAGAGGGGTGTGGGAGAGGGGAATAGAGGGGTGTAGGAGAGGGGAATAGAGGGGTGTGGGAGAGGGGAATAGAGGGGTGTAAGAGAGGGGAATAGAGGGGTGTGGGAGAGGGGAATAGAGGGGTGTGGGAGAGGGAATAGAGGGGTGTGGGAGAGGGGAATAGAGGGGGGTGGGAGAGGGGAATAGAGGGGTGTGGGAGAGGGGAATAGAGGGGTGTAAGAGAGGGGAATAGAGGGGTGTAGGAGAGGGGAATAGAGGGGTGTGGGAGAGGGGAATAGAGGGGTGTGGGAGAGGGGAATAGAGGGGTGTGGGAGAGGGGTGTAGAGGGGGTGTAGAAGAGCAGGGATGGAGGCTTGTGTGGCATATATGTATATGCAGTGGAGGAGGGGGCAGAAGAGCTGCCAATTGAGCCGAGCTGAACACCTTAAAATCCTCTCAGTGAACACACATGAGCTTTAGCCTAAAATGACGGGTTATTAACATCAGTCGTAAAAAAAAATATTGTCCTCCTCACGAGCCAAATGTATTTTGGAGCTCACTTTATTACCCATCAATATTCTTTGTCGGGGCAAAGTTACTTTTTAACTTTGTGCTAGGACATATTTTAATACTGAAAAATGGTGGTTTCAACTATTCAATTCGCTTCGCAAAGAGGGCGGTGAGGATATATGGCGTGGAAAGCTGTGGGGAAGGAATCGATGGGGCAGTGCTTTAGAGAGAGGTGGACGGGGACTTGGGCGGTCGAGGTTTTAAAGGAGGATTAAGGGTGAAGGAGAGTGGGCTGCTCTTTGGGATTAAAAGATTTGACAAGGTCTAATAAACTGGCGCAACAGGTTTGATGGTCTGAATGACCTCCTCATGTTCCTGTTTTGCCTGCAGGGCTGTAAGACGTTACAGAACATAAACTCAAGTTGTTGTTATTTCTATCTTCTTGTGCTCATGGATTGGAAGGAACTGTTCTGTAACCTTAATGGGGTTTAATAACAATAATATTAAGAACAACAATCATCATCCTCGCATTCGATCCGACGCCTTACCACGTCTTCGCGACGTCTCGAAGCGCTGCACGGCACAGACTGTCGAGTGCGGTGACTGTGCAGTTTGCGGGCGGAAACCGGCAGCCAATCGCGCACCGCGGGATCCAGCAAAGCAGTCGTGGATCGAAGTGATCGCATTTTTTTTTTTTTTTTTAAAAATGTGCTTCGTCGTGGCGACGTCTCAAAGCGCTTCGCGGAATCCAGGTTTTAAGTCACGGCTCTCAACGTGGAAACCCGATACTTTCGGGTGAAGCTGTAATCTCAAGGAGAGTCACCAGCTGGCGCAGAGCCAGGCACCACGGCATAAAGATATAAAGACTCCTAAAGGTTTACAATGTTAGCAACGATATTGTAGGACAATTAACAAGGGGGTCAGAGTGCTTTATCAATCCATTGGTTAGCATTAGTATTAGTCAGCACAAGGACAAGGACAGTTAGCAGAGTCAAATCTGCTGCTTTAACCCCTAACAAACCCATTGGTAATGCCAGCCCTCCGAGAACCTGCACAGTATGAAGGGCGCTATGCACGTGGTTGTTGTTGTAATACACGTCGAGGTCTTCTTGTGCACAGTTTTGGGCACCTTGATAATAAATAATAGTAATCAGCTTAGACGGACCCTAACCCTGACCCAAAGCGGGTCTTGAACCTACAACCTTCTGACTCGGAGCGCTACCGAC